GCAGCTGATCGATGTTTCTCTCTCATCGATGTTTCTAACTCTCTATCTCTCTCCCTTCCTCTCTGTAAAAAATCAATAAAATATATTTTTAAAAAAAGAACTCAATGGATATTACCGAAAATAATTTATCCTACCCCCCTATCAGGAGCAGAAACTTATTTTACTGATGCAAACAAACAAGGAATGGCTGGATACAGTAATTTTAAGAAAATAAAGTAGTGCAATCTCCTTACCAATCAGTACAAAAGGCAGAATTATTTGCAGTTGTTATGTTACTACAAGATAAAGACTCTATATCTCTTAACATTATCACTGACTCTCAATATACGAAGTTTACTGTACAACACATTGAAACGGCTACTATCTTTGAGGGTGGGTCTGACTTGCATGAACTATTTCTACTGCTTCAAATGCTTTTATGCCTCCGTCATGATCCTATCTATATAACACACATTCACGCTCACTCTTTACTACCTGGACCATTATCTGCTGGGAATACTAACATTAATCAATTGGTTGGTACAGTAACCTCCGCTCAAAGAGAGCATGATATGTATCATTCCAATGCTAGAGCATTAAAAGAAAAGCATCATATTACTTGGAGACAGGCTAGAAATATTTTACAGACATGCCCAATGTCAGCCATTGCACACTGTTCGCTTACCCATGGGGGTTAATCCCCGAGGAGACACTGTTAATGCTCTTTGGCAAATGGATGTTATTCAGGTGCCAGAATTTGGCAAGCTTAAATTTCTTCTATTAAAAGTTATTCTCATTCTATTGAAACTTATTCTCATTTCTCGTGGGCATCGGCGATGTCCTCTGAGAAAGCAGATACTGTTATAACCCATTTACTAGAAGCCTTTGCTGTAATAGGCAAACCTTGAGCCACTAAAACTGACAATGGCTCGGCATATTTATCAGGTAAGTATCAGCATTTTTCAACAGTTTAATATTAAACATATTACAGGAATTCCTGGAAACAGTACAGGTCAAGCAATTATTGAACGGCAGAACCGCACCCT